CAAATCCATTTCTACATTGGATCCCATTGCTGTGCCAGGGCACACAGGCTTGTGCAATAAGAAAGGAAACGCTGCATGGGGATCGATGGTGCACCTCTGCTCCGAGTGGTGCTGTGATGGAATACAGCAGGAAAACTTCCAGGATCTCTGATTTAGAGGCTCTGATGGGGAAAAGTCCCATCGCTGGCCTCTTGCAGAAGCTAACTGGTGAGCTCGTCTGTCCCCCATACCTACCGGGCGCTTTGCTGACAGCTCACGATGCTCTTAGAGGAATTCTCCAGAATTTCTGCCCACGGCCATAAATGCAGTTACCTGTTGATTCCTTTCCTATCAACAGCACAGAAAGGCGAGCTGCCTCATCCTACAGGAGCTGGTTTGGTGTCTTGGAAAGGAGCTGTGGCTGCAGATGTTACATGGAAGATAATTTGGGGAGGACAGCATTTGGCTTTGCAGCAGAGATGGGGCTCTACGATGCATATCCCAACCCTTTTGGCAAGGCACAGGAGGGTGGTGTAACCTCAGCTTATTGCTGAAGTAACCACCCACGGCTCCGACTGTGTTGGAGAAAACGTTTGTGTTTGAAATATGTGCTCCAGGTATCCAGGAGCCTTCAGCCTCCCAGGGTCCCCACCAAAATGACCCCCAGCTCCTCCAGCACACAAAGATGAGGGACAGAGCGGTGGATTCAGCGGTGCAGCATCTGGGTTCCTGTTCAGTGCTCTGAGATCACAAACTGCCCCGTTCAAAGCTCAGCCGTGAGTGCTGGGATCCCTTCATGGGTCCAACAGCCCCCCAAAGCATCTCCTGCCTCCACCCAAAATCAAATGAAAACAAATGAAATGTATTCATCCTTTTGAACCATGCTAACTGCAAGTGGTACTAATTAGTGCTCCCCTAAATGGCTGTGATTAGTTTAGCAACTAATTTAGAATATTTACCCTAAAATGTCTCCTCTTTTTTTTTTTTTTGGGAGGGGGGGAGAAGAGGGAAAGCAGGTCGTTTATTTATTTCTTTAACAAATTCCTACTGCTGGCTGTGCTGAAAACGTGAATCACGCAGTAGGAGCTGAAGCTGGAGTGGCTCTTCTACAGAAAAAAGAAGAAGAAGAAAAAAAAAGGCAGATTAAAGTACAGGAAACCCAGCTCGTGAGATGAGGCAGGCGCCTCGGAAAGCCATTTGCAACACGGAGTTAACGAATAACGCCGGGCTCGGAGCACGATAAATGAACGAGTGCAAAATAACAGAGCTTCCCCCCCATGGTGCTGCAGGAACGGTGGTATCCCCCCTCCCCCCCCCCCTGGGGCTGAAGCTCGGCAGTTCCCCTTCACCCCCCTCCCGCTGTCGGATGGGCTTTGCTTTGGGTGCTCGGTTTTGGGCTCTGACACCCCAACCCAGTGCAGATCCCATCACTGATCCGCGCCTGCCTCCCCTCGGACAGGCCTGGCCACTTCCCGACGTGCTGCTTTTTTTTTTTTCCTATTTTTTAATTTTTTTTTTTGTCAATCCTCCTCCTCGCTCGCTTTTCAGAAAGCTGATTCAGCCTTGCAGGCGAGCAGGTTGCACCGGCAGCCAAAGGGGCGACCGCGCTGCCACGCCGCCTCTGGAAGAGCTTTTTGCATTTCGATTCTCTTCTTTCTCGTCTTCTCCCCCCCCCTCCCCCCTCCTTTTTTTTTTTTTATTTTATTTTCCAATCGCATCGTCTTGGCCTTAGAAAGGCAGCAGCGAGCGCACAACCGCCGGGCTGTGTCTGATGGCTCCGTCAGCCCGAAGGAAAGGGATGCGAAGGGCAGCCTGGATCCTGGGGGGGGGGCTGCATTTAGGATTACACCACGATCCTGGGAGGCTGCGGGGGTGATGAAGGAGGGAGGGCAGGGCCGGGGGGCAACGGCATGCCTTCAGCCCAGGGGATGGAGCTGCTCCTGGGAATGGGGTCACTGCTGACTGGGGAGGATGGAGACATACCCTCACAGACCCCCCCCCAACTCTCTCTGAGGACACCCTTGGGAGGGGGTTTGGGGGGTCAGGTCACCCCTAAGGAGGGACAAACGCCCCTAGGGCTGTCCTGACCCCCAGCCCCGCCCACCCCCCGCATTGAGCCTGCTGACCCCACAGCCGACCCTGACCCCCATAGGCCGCCCCCAGCCCCGCCCCGCCCCTCCCCCC